CCTCCCCTCTAGGAGGGCTAATGGAACTCCCTCTAGCCTCTCTCTCTTCCTCTAACCCTGGGGGCTATGGCGGATCACCTCCCTAGTGCCAGCCTCACTACCACTAGCCTCTAGAGCTCCTCTCAATAGCTCATAATCTCCTCTAAGCTCCCAAACTGGCATGGGTTCCCCTCTCCTCTCCAAGTGAAAGAGTGCTCCTATGAGCTCACTTGGGCAGCATGGGCACTCCTCATGCAATTGTGAATGTCGCGGACTGAATTCCCAGCTTATGTAGGCTGAAACCAGCAGTCCGGCCAGCCCATGGGCCTCCCCATGAGCCTTGAGGTGAACCGAGGTACCCCTAAGGCAAAATTCTACTACTAGGCCCTTGCGGAGGTACCCGGGCCTCATTTTGGCCAAGTACATGCAGTCCGAGTGGTTGGTACCAACTCGGATTGCCTCTTGGCCTCCTTCGGCCTCCTTTTCACTTCCAAAATGCTTCCCCCTTGGGTCCTAATGCCCAAGGGGCAGCTTTACTTGAAAGAAAAAGGCCTAGTGGGCCTGATTTTTTCAGTTTCTACCCCATTTTGGGTAGGCCGAGATATTTTCCCATGCAGCGGTGCATTTTCAGCCTTGGATCTGGCTAAGATCCAAGACCAACAATATTCCGTGTCACCCCCAAGTAGCCCTTGCTTCAAATTTGAGCCCCTAAGTCCACTTTTTCAATTTTTGGTGCATCTTGCTCTCTTTTTGGGCCAAATGCACAATTCCGTCTCTTTCCCTCTTTTGTTTCTTTCCATTTTGGGCTGCCACCTTATTCCGGAGCTAGCCGTTTTGAGCTGGCCCACAAAAAACGGCTAGTTCCTCTCTATCATGAAATCTGATCTCAGATCCATGGTCCACAAAAAAAACGGCCATCTCCCTTTTGCATTTTCTTTTATTTTCCTCTTTTCAATTCAGATTTAGTGAAGATATGGCCCCAAGGGCCATATCTCTGCAATCCGGATGGCCCTCCCTCATTCTAGGAGGGATGAGGTCACAGTTGGGACCTGCCAGTCCCTACAATGTAGGTCCCAATAGGCCGGCACATTCTCCTCCACTCTTTTCTCCCCTTTTGTCTCAATCTCCTTCTATTTTCTCTCATTTTTATTTTTATTTCTTTTATTTCAGTTGTGACAAGTGTCAAGCAGTTGTGCACCCTCTTTCTAGGCCTTAGGACCTCGTTCATGGCCAGATTCATAGCTGCTACTTGGCCGTTATATCTCGGATTACAATAATGGCACCCCCATGCTCCTAGGGGGCTCCATTTTGCCTCCGTTAGTCCCAATTTTGAGCCCCTTTTGCTCCGATTTTCTTTTGGACAGCCTTTTTCTCATGTTGAACCTCTTGAGGCTCTATTTTCTTATGCCTAGCTAGTCCGAGATATCTCGGACTGCTGGGCAGCCCTCCCACCCCATTATTTCACTCTCTTTTCTCTCATGACTCTCCCACTTGCCCCCACTAGTGCTTGCAGTAGTGGTGCTAATATTTTCCACCGTCTAGATCCTCGATCTCGACGGTGCCGCTTGTTTGCGCAATTATTTCTTGTGTTGGCCCATGGTTCCCTTGKGACATCTCAAGTCCCCGCCACTTTCCTCCATACTAGTTCCATTTTTTTGGTCCAGCCAGCCGGCGCGTGTTTCGTTTTTCGACTTTTATTATTTGGGCCCACTTGGTCCCCTGACAACATCCCCGACGGTGTCCCATTTTTATTTTGGGACCTTCTTGCCCTTGGCGGTTCCAATATCTCTTCCTTGGATGCCACATGTCGGGCAATTTTTCTTGGTCGTGAGATCTCATCTCACGGTTGTCGTTTACCGTCTCCACTTGCCTAATGCCGAAATTACTTCTTTCTAACGTTTTGGGCTTGTCGTGGCTCATTTTTCCTTAGCCTAGGCATCCTCATGCAGTCCGTTATTTCTCGGACTGTAATCATGGTCATTTTCCTAGTCCCACAGCCCCACAACTTGCCCCATGCTAAAAGAAAAAGAAGCGTTTAATTTCTAAGTGCATCCGGGCTCAACATTGGCTTCAGATGTACTTAAAACATGTTTTTTTCCTTCCCCATGCAATAGGGGTCAATTCCCTAGCCCCAATGCCCCACAACTAGCCCTTTCTCGAAAGAAAAAGAAACGGTTAACTCCCAAGTGCATTCGGAATCCATGTGTTTCTATTCCCCCATGTAATCCGTTATTTTTCGGTTGCATGGGGCCTTTATTTTTTTTTCTTTTCTCTGCAAAATCAAAGAAAATCAAAGTCCTTTGTAACCGCCATATTCCATAATGAATCTGGTCACGGATGTATCTCCCCAAGTGACCATTTTTTACCGTTAAGGTCCTTTTCTCTTTTTTTTTCATTTTTCTTTTCTTTTCTTTTCTTTTCTTTTTCCTCCTTTCTTGGACAGTAGAGACCTGCCAGTCCCTACTTATGGCAGTCGCTACTGACGACCAACTCACTCACTCCCTTTCACTCTTTTTGTCTTATTCTCTCACATTTTCTTTTCTTTTCATTCTTTTTTCTAACATGCCAAGTGCCAAATGGAAGAAGTAGCCATAGTTGTGTCTGTGTTGACCTCGGTCCTAGCCCTAGCATTAGCTGTAGCTGCTCTTGCTCTCCGCAATATCTCCCTTGTCCCGACTTCCCTTCACAGTCTCCTTTCGTCTCCCGGACCTAACGCTTGGAAGGTGAGTGGACGACTGAGAGCGGTTCTACGAGTTACCCTGAGGTTTCAACTAGTTCTTCCTCCTCCTCACTATTCACCGCTTCACTCATGAGCAAACAATGTGTGTAGTCTAAACTAGAACCCACACTGGATCCTACCTCAGCATGACATACAATCGATTAATGTTGGACTCTAAATCTGGTAAGCCTAAGAAAACGTAGTCAAGTGGTAACCAACAATCAATGTCAGGTACTCTGAAACAGGTTGCATGCAACAAAGAATGCTATCTACCAGCAGTTGTCTGTTAGTTGTCAGTCAAGTCCATAACAACTAAATGTAATGACCCGCCAAAAACACAGACTGAGAACACTGCTGATTTCTGGGATTTGCTGCTGGAATGAATGCCTTGCTGAAAGTCCCACATTCTGTTGTGATTTCCAAGTCTGTGTGTGTGCGTGCCTGCTGGTTTGCATGCCTGTTTGAGTGCTTGTCGGTTGAGTGTGTGTATGACCCGCAAGGGTACTTGTTGGTTGAAGGGCCCCGCAGGGGCGGTACTTACCTGTTGCAGGGGGAAAAACACTGAAGTAGCGGGGGTAGGCCCGCAACACTTAGGACAGCGGGGAAAAACACTCAAGTAGCAGGTAGGCCGGTACCACTCAAGTAGTGGTAGGGGTGTCGGGTACTGGAGGCCGAGCAGAAGAAGACAAAAAGTTGGCATTTTTAG